AAGACCTTTTTAAAGTGTTGAAGAACAAAGATGTCAGCTTGAGGACTAAGGTGCGCCTGACCCAAGCCATGGTATTTTCAATAACCTCATATGCACTGGACAGTGAATAATGAAGACCGTAGAAGAATTGATACTTTTGAGTTACGGTGTTGGAGGAGAATATTGAAAGTTCCATGAGCTGACAAAAGATCCGTTTTGGAAGAAATGCAGCCAGAGTGCTCCTTGGAGGCCAAGATGGCCAAACTTCTTCTCTCGTACTTCGGACATATTGTCAGGAAGGTCCAGTTGCTGGAGAAGGATATCATATTTGGTAAGGTGGACAGTCAGAGAAAAAGAGGAAGACCGCCAACGAGATGGATTGGCCAAGTGGCAGCATCAATGGACTCAAACGTGGCAACAATAGTGAGGTTGGCCCATAATCGGGCAGTGTTTCGTTCTGCTGTGCTATGGTCACTATGGGTCAGTACCAACTAGATGGCACCTAACAACAACAACAACAACAGGTAAAAATCTAGTATTGTTCCTCTTCCTTTTCCCACATAAGCTATATGATCTGACTGTCAAGATTGATTTATTTTGTATACTTAAAATTCACCGTTTGCCTATTCACAACATTCCCTAATACAGCATCAAAATGGCATATACAAGCACATATTCTCTCAGTATTTCATTAATCACTACTCTTATTTTCCAAGCTGCATTAATTTTCTCTGAGAAAGCAATCAAATATTTCTGACACAAATGGCATTAGGTTTCTTATGAGTAACCAACCACAGGTCTATAATATTACAAATATTAACTCTCTAAATATAGATGGTGAATAAGCAATAACAATAATATGGTTCTATAGTCGTTATCAATATTCTATAAACTCAGAAAACTATACACACACACATACAGAGAGACCATTTAAAACAAGCACCATTTCACCAATGGTTTCCAAATGAGACTATACTATACCACCAGCACCTTTATATCTATATTTAATCTTCACATGCTTGTCAAGGAAGTTAAAGGCAACTCCCCAAAACTACTGGAGCCCATTGTTCTGTTTGCCAGACCTAAATAAACTTGCCTAGGTAACTAGAATATCATTTTTCAATAGAGGAGAAAATTCTGGATTTTTCTTGAAGAAATACTCAATAATATATCTTGGGGACACATCTGAACAATTTTTTTTAACATTCTGAGCAGTAAATGTCAACTTATTTCACCCACTCCTCACTTATCAATGTGACTATGTGACTATGTTCCAAAGAGCAAGTTGTAACTTGAAATTCAGTATTAAGCAAAAATGGAGGATGATCACATCAGATCACAAACTATAGGATGCTTATATCATTAGATACAGAGTCCTGGTGTGGCATTGTAGGACAAGTACTGGGTTGCTACTCATAAGGTTGGTGATTCAAACCCACCAGCTACTACTTAGAAACCCTAGACAGGGTTGCTATGAGTTGTAACTGATTCAATGACACTAACAACAATATCATCATTATGTAACAGTTAAATTACATCATTACATAATGACATCATTCCATAACTGCTGAAACACTGTGAAACATGGCCCAGCTAAGTTGACACATAACCTTAACCATAACAACTAGCACTACTCTCACATCGCACCTCAGCATTGGTAACTACCTGACATGTTGTCAATGCACAATATAATGGC